TAATAAAATACTTACCTTTAGACTCTCGAAAATCGTGACTCTTCATCACCTAACACCATTCTACAACTCTTGGTGATGGAAGATAGTTTAGACCAGTCTCGTGTTCCTTTTACTTTTTCATCATTTACATGGATGCACTGTGCACGAACTATAAAGCCTGTGAAGTTGTTTAAGTCATGTTTCATCATTAAGATGGCGTCACGACTAAGGCTTTCTTGGATGAATCCTTTTTGTAACAAATCTAACTCTTTGGTTTCTTTGAGATTGTATATTTGATGAGGTATGATGGAAACTTGAATTAGATTGGTTTGGTGTTGTTTTCCTCTTTCTGGTGGTAATCTGTCAGGTGGATCGCCTAACACTTCTCAAAAATCCTATGAACGAGAGGAAAACAGACTAGGCAAATCCATGTTAATGTTAAAAATAGAAACAATTGATTCCCTAAAGCGAACAAATATGCAAGGTTATTTGTAAAGAAGATTCTCTCTCAATTCTTTCATACTCACACAAAGATTTTGAGTCACACTTTTCTTCTCACAATTAGGTTCACTCGCCTCCCATGGGTCATTATTCTTTTGGCTTTTGTAACTAATGACCTCTTTTTCTTTTGCCTCTTTCTCAACTTTTCTTTTTCTTTTACTTTCCCTACCTCCTCGCAATTCTCATTTTTTTCTTTGCTGGTCGTTGTTTCTCCTTTTCTGGTTTTCCATCTCTCAGCTTTTTTAGTGAAGATGGAGTAGAAGATGAAGAAGGATGTGAAGGATTACCTTGGTAAGAAAATGAAGTACCTTAGTAATGTTCTCTGAATCGAAATCTCCTTTGGATTTGTTCTTCAATTTTTATTGTCTTCTTTAGTGTATCTTTAAGGTTTTCGTACCCATGGAGGTCAAGAAGATCAATGATGTTTGAGTTCAAGCTGACGATGAATATTGACACGGTGTCCTCTTATTCTTTGGTTATGTTAGCCCTATTGAGTAAGGATTGCATTTCCTTGTAGTAGTTTTCAACTGAACTTCTACCTTCTCAAAGTCAGTGTAGTTGTAGTTTAACTTCTCATGTATATTTTGTCGGTAGGAATTGGTTCCTCATGGTTTGTTTGAAGTCAGTCCAAGAATTGATAGCTTTAATTTGGAAGTTCTCAATCTTTTTCCTTGTTTGCATCCACCATGTGTGAGCTTATCCTTGTCTGGATCGTTGTCTCCTTTGAAAGACGGGATCATGAACTTTTGTTTTACAAAGAGTTGGGTGCTTAGAAACATGGTTTCCTCGTTTGGGTACCAAAAGTTTAGCATTGTTTGGTCTTGAATTCTGCTTTTGTAGATCCAGTTGTGGTTCTTGTCATTCTCTCACGATATTGTTAAGTTCATCAAATCTTTCAAATTGAGTCGTGAGTCGTACAAGTGCGGCTAATATTGTCGTAAGTGTCTTGTTGTTATTGTCACCCATCCTGAAATCATAACACTCAGAAGAAAATTTTAAAGTAAAATAAAAATAAAATAAAGAAAATTCAACAAAGTAAGAAACCTCACAAGTCACTCAAAGAAAGTAACACATCGAGAGACAAGTAAGGCAATCTTGTACTCTTTAAAACTCACTTTACCAAGTAGTCTTCCATATTTCGTATCGGAGTTTGATTACTAGCAAAGGCGATAACAAAATTTAAAAGCTCCAAGAGGCCAAAGAAGGGTTAGACTCCAAGAGAATGAGAATGCAACGAAGGAAGAATTATGTAAACTCTTTAGTCCTACTAACACAGGAAAGATAATGTGTTAGATAATTTAAAAGAACAATAAAAAGGAAAAACAAAAGAACCTAAAGCACTAAGAGTCAAAGAAAAACAAGACATTCCAGAAACCTAGAAAACGCTGGGTCAACTTGAGAATCGTTTTTGTAAAATTCTTGAATGTCTTTTGATGTTTGTAGAAACCATCTGTAAATTTTCTGAACCAAATATCTTCAGTAGTATCCAGTAGACTCTGTGAACGGTGAGTCCTCAAACAGTCTATTTTTCATGATCGCTTTGTTCAAAGGTATTATTGATCTCCAAAAATCCTGATTTTTTTGTGAATGATATGAAATATTTTTAGTTTCAATCTAGAAATTTTCACCATGAAATTCCTCCTGTAGAATTTTCAAGAAATTCAACAAGAATCTAGATTGAATTGTCGATGAAATTTGAATAATGTATTTGAAGGCACTAATGAACTCTTATTGGTGTGAATTTTAGACTGGAGATTACCCTTATAATGAATATGAGATCTGAATAAAATCATATCTAAATTCCTTTTTTTTGCAATTTTTTGAATTTTTTCATCTTTTTTGGCTTTTTCATCTTTTTTGGCTTTTTCATCTTTTTTGGCAAAAAAATAGCAAACTAACAAGAATGATTTGAATCTAAATTAAAATTAAATAAAAAGAATTTGAAATGATGAATCTTTTTGAACTAGATCCATTGGGGTACCTTCACGGTTTTATGTGCGAGAACAAGAAAGAATGCTTGCTTCTTTCTAAGAATCGGCCCAAATCTGATACCAATTGATAGGGAAGGTGGTGGTGGGTTAATGAACGTTGCTCTTTTTGAATAATCAAACCTAGAAAGCTTTAGACTAGATGAAGAACAAAGGGGATGAATGGTAGAAGATGGCTCCCTTATGAAGGTGAACGATAAAGATTATGTTGGTGAGGATGGATTTGTGGAAAATAGATTGATAAGTGTATTATAGAACCCTCCTAGTCACAATGAAAAGGAAAACTCGATAATATGGCTCTAGCCAACCCTCCTAATCACGATGAAAAGGCAAATTGGAGTGTGAAGATTAATCTCCCTTACAAGAACTTGAAAAAACTCCAAGAGAAAAAGCTTCGAAGGCACAAGGTAATCAACACTTCCAAAAACGAACTCTCATTGTATTATTAATCAAAGAAATTTGTCTTACAAAGTTGAATGAAGTCTCTTTTATATAGGGTATGAGTTCTAAAGGTTCTAAATAACTAATGAATAAAATAATAACAAACTAAACATGTCTTAACACTAATTACTAAAAAAATAAATGTTTCAACTCAACCTTAATTCCTAATAAAATAATAAATCTAATCCTAAAAGATAATGCATCATCCTATATTAAATTATATTACAAATAATCAATATAAATATTGAAAATTCGTAATATTTACAAAATCACGTATTAATCTCGTATAGGAATTTCTGCATGCAATGTCTTCAGTAAAATTAATGTATCTTAGGTTCCCAATATCGGATTGATATGATTCAAGAACCGTTGGAAATTGAGAGACAGATGGTTGTATATCCAATAGACATGTTGACTAAATAAGATAAGGATCCCATTCAAAATGTCGTCACAAGTTTGTTTTGTTTTGGTATTCTTTTCCAAGACTTGGACGAGTGGATCATTTGGGAGAGTTATTACTTCTTCCTTTGATGTGAGCCTGTGATACATGTATCATCCTCCCTTTCTTCAAAAGATTCAACCTCAAATCTGAAACATTAAAGGGATCAACATTAGAATCGTTTAATGATTCATTCATATTATGTTTACCAAATAAATATGCTTTGAATCTTTGAGACTTTATTCTTCTATTAGGTTTGAGTAGAAACATTAGTCCAAAAAGCTTGTATTATGGAATTGGTGCATGTATCACACTTCGATGCCCTGGTGAGAAATTTTGTATCTCAACACAATTTCGTCGGTCACCATAAAATGGCATTTTTCCTAGTTTAGCAAAAGGTTGGACTCCTCTTATCGCTTAAGCACTTTAGATAAATTGTCGAAGCATCGGTCAAAGTCATCCATAAATATTTCCATGAAGTCTTCCACCATATCTGAGAAAATGGCCATCATACACCTCTGAAAAGTTGCCAGAGCATTACATAGTCCAAACGACATTCTTCTAAAGGCATAGGTACCATACGGACATGTGAAAGTACTCTTCTCCTGATCTTCAGGTGCTTTGAGGATCTGATTGTATCCAGAATATCCGTCAAGGAAACAGTAAAATACCTTGTCTTGTAACCTATCAAGCATTTGATCAATGAAAGGGAGGGGAAAGTGGTCTTTCTTTGTTGCTTTGTTGAGCTTCCTTTAATCCATACATATCCGTCAGTATATGACTGTTCTTGTAGTCGAAAGATCATCATTTTCATTCTTAACCATAGTCACGCCACTCTTCTTTGGTACACATTACACCAAACTGACCCATGAACTATCGGATATTGGATAAATTACTCCAACATCCCACCATTTTATGATTTCCTTCATCACCACTTTTTTCATTGTCGACTTAAGTCTCTTTTGTGGTTCCATAAAATTGTTATGGCTATCTTCTAATTGGATCTTGTGCATGCATATTGTAGAGTTGATTCCCTTTAAATATGTCATTGTCCACCCGAGAGCTTTTCTGTGTTGTAACAAAACATTCAACAAACTTTCCTCTTGCTCGGGGGTTAGATTAGCATAAATTATAAATGGTAAAGTTTCATCACTACCTAAATATACGTATTTCGAATGTGATGGAAATGGTTTAAGTTCTAAGGTAGGTGCATGCTTTAATGAAGGTTTTGGAGGAATAAATTCATTGAAATCAAGGGATTCGAATCTCATACCTACTCTAGCTTGAAGTAAACTAGATTTTTCTTATTCCAATGAATTTTCCTCAGACTTTGGACGTGTTCTACTCTCAGCATGTCTTTCATCTATTTCAGTTGAGAAACTTTGCATAGACAAATATTTTTTTGCTTCAGTCGGGAAAATTTTGTTGTGGTAACAAGTGTTGTGTTCCTCAGATTGTAAAACATCGTCTTGGATAAAACTTTTACAGTATTCCTTCTAGAGAATTTTTCTTGGCCAAATTTATCATACTCGTTAAGATGTGAAAAGTTCCCTTAACCAGAAATTTTTGTTCCAACTTCCTCTAATGAGTCAATGTCTTTAATGTAATGGCATTCTTCATAATCATCAATGTATTTAAGAGTGCTGAAGACATTAATCGTCGCTTTGATCAGCCACCCTCATTGTGAACTCTCCATTCTCACAATCTATTAGAATACGCCCTGTAACTAAGAATGGACGTCCAAGGATAATAGAGCCATTTTTATCAGCTTCAAAATCTAAAATGAGGAAATCATCTGGGAAGACAAACTTGTCCACTTTCACAATTACATCTTCAATTCTGCCTTCAGGACGTACATGTGATCGATCAGCTAGTTGTAAAATCACAGTGGTTGGTTGAGCATTACTCATTCCAAGTTTCAAAAAGATGGACTTATGCATCAGATTTACGTGTGACCCTAAGTCACAAAAAACTCTTCCAAATCTATCACTGATGGAACATGGTATAACAAAGATGCTAGGATCTTTTTTCTTTGATGGAAGTTTACTCATTTTCGAATAACATTATGCTATCGTGGCAACAATTTCTATTCTTTCCACCTTTCTCTTCTTTGTGATAGTGTCTTTAAGGAATTTGGCACATGAAGGCATCTGCTCAATGGCTTCAAGTAATGGAATGTTGATATGCAGTTGTTCACTGTTCAAGGACATCAATAAATATTTTGAACTGATTCTCGTCATTATGTTTCTCCAACATTGAGGAAAATTTGGTGGAGGTTTAACTTCATTTGGTACAGGTGGTGTAGTAACTTTTTCCTTGGCAAATAATTTTTCACCATTAGTATGCTGACTTGTCGAACCCTCGTTCCTTTCCTTCTCCTTAGCTAGTTCTGTTTGTTCAGCAATCTCATATTGATTTTCAATTTCTTCATGTTTGGCGCTTGGCTAATATTTTTTGGTTGTTGTCCCCCAAACTTACCCTCAAGATTAATCTGAGTACCACTCCTTAACATGATCGTACTGCATTACTCCTTTCCTTGAGGCGTATTGACCTGAGTGTCGCTTGGGAGGCTTCCTTGTGGTCGCGAATGTAATGTCATGGCAATTTGTCCTACTTGATTCTCAAATGTCCTTAACGATGAGTTATGGCTTTGTAATAGAGCTACTTGGATTTTCAATAGATTTCCTTGATTCTTGATTGTTGATGATTGTTCATATATCAAGGTCTTTGTTGAAGCCATGAAATCTTTTGTTGAGAAAATAAATTCATGCAGTGAAGCTTTAAGAGTGTTAGAGTTTGAAGATGTGTTACTTTTATTATTACCTTGCCGTGGCATATGTTGATGTTGCGAACTTGAGTGTTCAGAAACATTTTGTTGTGTCATGTTAAAATTTCTTGCATAATTTTTATTGTTATTCCCTTGATTACCCCATGAAAAATTTGGATGTTGTCGCCATCCAGGATTGTATGTATTAGAATAGGGGTTGTTGGTGTTCCTTCTATTGAAGTTTCCCACGAAATTTATTGACTCCTGGTTTTCTGGACATTCACTCTCATGATGGTTTCCTCGGCATAAAATTCATGTTGAGTTAGTTACCTTGACTTCTTTCACCTCAATAAAACACTGTAAATTTTTAAGCATGTTAGTTATAGCAGAAAGTTGGGTTGAAAATTAATCCTTACTGTCAAGTTCATACGCCCCATATATTCTTCTGTTGGTCCTAAGTCTTGCAGACAGGAATTGATAGTCATTATTGGTTATCCGAATGAGGATATCAAAGGCTTCCTCGGGAGATTTGTCTAGCAAAGTGCCATTTGCATACTCATCTAACATCATTCGAGTGGGTGCATTGACTACATTGTAAAATGTCACGACTTGAGTCCAATCGTGGAATATGTGGTTAGTCTACTTACAAAGCAAGATTTTATATTTGTCCTAGCACTCGTATATAGATTCCTCATCGCCTTGGCTAAAACTCGAAATGTCATTATGGAGCTAGGTGTGCATGTTGGTCAGGTTGTAGCGAAGCAGAAAACTTTTGCATGTTAGCCCAAAATTTCATTGATCCACAAGAACTCCACTAAGTCAAGCTCTTGCCCTCTCACATAGAGAATAATGGAAATTTTAACCTTCATCACATCTTCATGCACTCCTTGTTGTCTGAAAAAATTGCACACTTCAAGGAAGGAACGAGCATGTTGTTTAGCATCCTTATTAGGTGAGCCACCAAATTGACCGATGGAGTTTAGCATGTTGAACATCACTGGTTTAAGTTCAGAATGGGTTGCATGTATTTCATGTTCCACAATTCCAAGGATGAGATCGTCAATAATGGGATTCAAGTGATCTCGTATTGCTCGTGGCCTTAAATCCTCTCTAGAAAAATTATTTACCGCGATATTGGAATCCGTCTGATCTCCCATATTTTTTGCAACTTGTTACTACAGTCGATTCATATAATCTCTGGCACGTTGGTTAAGTTGCCTTTATCTGAATGACTGTTTGATCTCAAGCTCGAATGGTTCTAATAGTTCATAAACAGATCTCAGAGCATGAAACAACAAAAAACAAAAAAAAATGAGAAAATAAACAAGTTATACTAAATAAATAAAATGTAACAAGAAATAAAAATTTGCTATGGCAGAAATTATAAAAATTCCTTCAGTTGCAATCCCCGATAACGGTGCCAATAAATTAAGCGCTTGTGAATTATATGCCAAGACAAGCAATTTGTGCAAGTGTACACAATCGATGCAAGTAATATAGTATTAAGTAGAGTTATCGTCTCCTCAAGTATTAATGGGAATTATTGATTTTTTTCTATAGTTGGAACTAGGTATCACGAACTAGTCTTGAAATTCTTATCGAAACAAAAAAAGTAATACTGACGAAAATAAACGAATGGGAAAAACCTTTCTAAGCAATAAATATTGTGAAGTATGGTGTGCAAAAAAAGTTTAGTCGAGGCAAGGAAAAATTCCAAAAGTAAACTAACCAAAATTATTAAAATAATTAAAAGTGTTGGGTTCTATATATTCAGAGAAACCTCATACAGGTAAACTTCTTTCCAGAGAACTTAGGTTGGTTTTGCTAAGATGAAAAATTATCCTCGTCAAGAATGAATCAATGTGCTATACTTAAATTACCCGACAGGATTACTAGAGTACTCAAGAATGGTTTCTACATCAATACTACTTAGTGTGAACTACAAACCTTAGTTTATCAAACTGTTGTTGCAGCGATAACCCTCATCATAAATTGCATTCGCTGCCTATCTTACTCAAGCAACTACCCCTTTTAGTCGAATGAAACCCTACCTTATCTTTAAGGCATATTAGAACCTTACCATCCTAGATCAGTCCCATTATTCACGTAGATATTCCCTAACTCTCTTGATATTAGGCATATATTCCTTGAATAATGGCAATCTCTCGAAAGCTCTAACAAAGTCTAGGAATATTTTTGTTTAGGCACCAGGCAATCGCTCAAAAACTCTTACAGTGTCAAGGAAAAATATTAAAATGATGAACAAAACAATATTAAGCATAAACAAACTTCTTCATTTAAAAACATCAAACAATGTTTCATCAAAACCATAACAAACACCAAGTAAATTAGTTCATGGTGCGGCAAATATCATCCAAGAGTTAAACTTTAAGTACAAGCCCTTTTAAGTGAATCAGAAATTAAGAAATTATGAAGAAACACTCCCAAGTAGAGCTCTGCCGTGACATTCTAACCACCACCATGCTTGCTCCAGTGCCCAGCCTCTATCGAGGACCTAGCCGTTGCGCCGATAAAGTCTGGCTATAGCGGGCACCAAGGACGGTCTAGTGGGGGAATTGTGGAAAATAAGGTGTAGCAGCTGCTTACTCTACACCTAAGGTAAATCTTCTCCTTCTTCCTCTCTCTGGGCGTCTATAATGAGGTATTCATAATAGGAATTTCTAGGGTTTTATGTCCTAGGGAATTCTCTAAATACCCTCATTGACTTACCCATGTTATGAATGGAAAGGCGGCTGAAGGTGGTCAATTCTCTTGAAGGGCGTGATTGCATGTGAGGATGAAGCTTGGCAAATGATTTCAGCAATTGTTGTCCATGTCAGATCTGCAAGATAAATCTTGCCTCAGTAGAATAAATCTATTATTCAATGTCTTCTTATGTTTCTCTAGCCCTGGGAAATAGTTTTTGTCTAGGAAAATAAATTCTTTCTTTGCTATTTCCTGAATCAACACAGCCAACAAGTAACCTTCCTCCTCATCAGTATCAGTTAAGCCAAATAAATCTTGCCTAGGCAAAACTTATCCACCACATTAAAATATGACCTAATGCAACTAAAATGTTATGATAACGGCTTTTAGACACACAATAACTTAAGTAAAAAGATAGAAAGCATAGTATTTTTACGGAGTTATAACAACCCTCTCACCATTTTCATTCAAGGAACCAGAAAGGTTCCTTGAAACTATGTTGTTAATGTATCAATTCCAAAGGATCAGAGTTAGTAAAAAATGAAGGTAATAGAAAAGGTGAACACAACAGCAGAGGGGAAACCAATAGCTAAAGTATTGAGTAAGGTAGGCCATTTCACAAGAAGTGAGAGATGTTATTCTCATGAAATCTCAAAAGAAAGAGAGAAAGTGAAAGCAAAGGAAAAGCCTGCAGTGGTGCTAAGGATATTCAATGACGAATCACCACCAACAATTAATGAGCCAATGACTAAGGCTCAGGCACAAGAATTCCTTAAATATTTAAAGCACAATTAATACAGTGTTATCAAGAAGCTATATAAAGAAGAAATTATTTTTATATTTGATATGTTGATAAACTCAAAAGTAACCAAAATGCTTTGTTAAAAGTACATAATCAAGCATTTACGCCTGAAGATGTATCTATAAAGTTAGATCAGATCGTGGGGCACGTAACTGATGACAATTATGTTACATTTATCGATGATAAGATCCAAGAAGATTGAATAGAATCTGTGAAAGCTCTAAACATCACCACACTGTAATGGTCATGCCTTTCCATATGTTTTGATTGACAATGATTGTACACTTATGTTATGCTAATGGCCACACTATAGAGGTTACCTGTAGAGATTTCACACATGAACGCCTATCAAAACGTTATCAAAGTTTTTGACATAACCTAAAGAAATGTGCTTAGAAAAATTGAGGTACCATTGTTGATTGGGCCCACCCTTCACAATATCAAGTTTTGGTCATGGACATTAACCCAACCTATAATTGTCTATTGGGGAGACCATAGATCCATTTTATAGGAGTGATCCCCTTATATCTGCATAAAAAACTAAAGTTTACCATTGATGGATAGTTGGTCAGCATAGGGGTCGAAGAGGATATAATTGCTTTAGTAAGCATTGATGCCCCTTATATTGAGACCAATGAAGCTTCCTTAGAGTGATCCTTCACAATGTTAAAGTTCATCAACGCGACTTTTACCACTAAGGTAAGCAAAATCCCATGCCCCATGTTATCTAATTGCACCAAGATATTTCTTTGAGATACTTTGGGAAGAGGGGAAAA